GTAGCTCAGGCCCCAGTCATGTGATTTTCCATGAGGACTACTAAGTTTTGCTTATAATCATTTTAAAGACTGTGCCCTAACTCTCCTCCAAATTATTTTATCTGTAGATGGTCGTTGACAGGGAAGAAAGCTCTTCAAAGTTAGGAACATGGCAAGGCATGCAAATATAGCAAGGCTAGTGTAAGGCTGGCAACGCAGCAAACGGTGATTGAATGTAGTAGCAGAATCGGACTGTGGAAAGACAGGAACAGGACAAAGCTTCTAGTTCCAAGGGACCCCACAGGACAAGAAGAACTGAGTCTAAATGATAAAGCAGCCCTCAAGATGAGAGAAAGACAAAGTTTGCTTGTGCTTAAAGAAAGCACACCCCCAGTGGTTGATCAGTGGGCACTTAATCTTGTCCAAAATGTCCACTGAGGCTTTTGGTCCATGTCAAAAGATCCTTGATATTTGACCCAGTCCAAAATATCCATGAAGACATTTGGAAGTTAGATAATTTGTGTTGTTTAACAACTCATAGACCAAATAGTATCTCTGTGCATGTTTTGGACAGGACCAGAAGTCCTGCAAGGACAGTGGCATCTAGGAATCACAAAAGGAGCTTTTACATATTATGTGGACCCTCCCTTCCCAAGAATGTTTTTTTGTTTCCTGAGGAACACTGCCAGCTCCCTCCCTTCATCTAAAAATGGTTAGGAAAATAAATGAATTTGAGACGATGTTATGGAAAACTAATGATGATTAAGTAATTAGGGCATTCCAGTTATTATATTACTTTTTAAAATAATTTGAGATGCAGTTCTTATCTTTATTTTTCTGATGAGGAAATTGCAGCTTATGGAGGTTAAATGACTTGCCTACAGTCATGGAACTAGTCAGGTAGCACTAGGATTTACAATCATCTCTTTGGCTAAAAAAACATTAGAGAATTCATTCCTTCTTATGCAATAACTTCTCTCTCTATTGATATCCAATTCTCTAGATTCCCCCTCAATATCACTTAAATCCATCTTCTTCTTTCCAGTCCTACTGCCCTCACCTCATGCCTTACCAAGTTTTCCCCAAAAGCCTCTTAACTGATCTTCTTCCCTCCTTCCCTCCATCTCCTTCCTTCCCTTTTTTTTCTTTAAATATATTTTTATTGATTTCAGAGAGAGGAAGGGAGAGGGAGAGAGAGATAGAAACATCAGCGATGAGAGAGTCATCGATGGGGTGCCTCCTACATGCCCCCGACTGGAGACTGAGCCCGCAACCCGGGCATGGGCCCTGACCGGGAATCGAANTCGATGGGGTGCCCCCTGCACGCCCCCACTGGAGACTGAGCCCGCAACCCGGGCATGGGCCCTGACCGGGAATCGAACCTCAATCTCCTGTATCCTAGGTCGATGCTCAACCCCTGAGACACGCCCGCTGGGCATTCCTTCCTTTTTCTTTCCCTCCTTTCTTCCTCCCTCCCTTCTTTCTTCCTTTCAACGTAAATCTGAACAATTCCAGGCTGCTTAAAAACTTTCCATGACCTCCCACTGACCTGATAGTAAGTCTTTGCCCCCAAATCTGCCTCCCTGACCTTCATCTTACACCCTCTCCCCCTTGCTGTCTATGCTCCAACAACACTGGACTCCTTTAATTTCCTAAAAACTATAAGCTGTACCTTAGGTCAGTGCTTTCCCATTTGCTGTTTCTTTAACATGGAACACTCCCTCTTCTTTGCTTAGTTCAGCAATTCTCAAACTTTTTGGTCTTACAATTCCTCTATACTCTTAAAAATTATTTAGGACTCTAAAGAGGTTTTGTTTTGTTTTTTTTAATGTGGATTCTATCTATGGATACCTACATGTTATAAATTAAAACTGGAAACTTTCAAAATATTTAATTAATTAAAAATACATAGTAGCCCAGCCGGGCATGGCTCAGCAGTTGAGGCTCAACCTAGGATCCAGGTGACAGGGTTCGATTCCCGGTCAGGGCACATGCCCGGGCTGCGGGCTCGATCAATGACCCTCTCATCATTGATGTTTCTGTCTCTCTCTTCCTCTCCTTTCCTCTCTCTGAAATCAATAAAGATATATATTTTTTTTAAATTACTAAAAAAACATAGTAAATTGATTCTGCTTTAACATAAACAGCATATTTTATGAGAAACAACTATATCTTTCAAAAATAAAAATGCATTAGCGAGAATGGCATTGTTTTACATTTTTACAAATCTCTTTAATATCTGGCTTAATGGAAGACAGATGGATTCTCATGTCTGTTTCTGCATTCAGTCTGTTCTAATCTTATGTTATGTAGCTCTGGAAAACTCCTCTGTACACTTGCAGAGAATGAGAATGGAAATGGCTATTTCTTAGTATTATTATGAAATAAGCTTGACTCCTGAACCCACTAAAAGCCTCATCGGCAGGAATCTCCAGGAATCCCAGGCTGTACTTTGAGAACCCCTAATCAGCATTATTTTCCCCCCTTAGCTTTATTAAAGTACAACTGGCAAATAAAACTGTAATATATTTAAAGTATACAACACGATGATCTGACACATGTACACATTATGAAAGGGTTCCTGCCATCAAGTTAGCACCTCCATCACCTCACAGTTACTTTTTTTTTTTTTTTTGGTGAGAACACTTAAGTTCTCTCTTAACAAAATATAGGTATAATAAGTGTTATAATTTCAAGTATATAATACAGTATTATCATCTATAGTCACCATGTTATACATTAGATCCTCAGACTTTATTAATTATATAACTGAATGTTTGTACACTTTTATCAAGCTCTCCTGCAAAAACCCATTCTGGTTTTTTTGAGTTTGACTTTTTAATTTTTTTTTTAGATTCTGCCTATAAGTAATACCATGCAGTCTTTATCTTACTCTTTCTGGCTTATCTCACTTAGCATAATGCCCTCCAATTTCATTCATGATATCACAAATGGCAAGATTCCCTTTTTTTAAGGGTGAATAATATTCCATTGTATATAGACCACATTTTTTAATTTATTCATCTGTCAAGGGATATTTAGGTTGTTTCCATATCTCGGCTATTCTGAATAATGATGCAATGAACATGGGAATACAGATATCTCTTAAAGATAATTATTCTATTTCTTTTGAATATATATACCCAGAAATGGGATTCCTGGATCATACTATAGTTCTCTTCTTAATTTTTTAGAGGAACCTGCACACTGTTTTCCATAGTGGCTGTACCAGTTTACATTCCCACCAACAGTACATAAGGGTTCCCTTTTTCCCACATTCTCACCAGCATTTGTTATGTCTCATCTGAAAATTCAAATTTACAAGATCTTCCCTGACCTCAAAGAACAGGCTGGCTCCTCTTGCATGCTCCTGTAACACCCTCTGCCTTTCTGTGAAAACACCCATTATGCCTGTAGTTTAATGACTTGCATGAGGACGGGATCGTGTTAGCTTTGCTCACAGTGAATCTTCAGTGCTCAGCCCCCACAGCAGGGACTCAGAGGATCTTCGTGGGCGGGAGGAGATAAAGGAAGGGAGGAGAGGGAGGAAAATAGCAGAGCCAGGGAGCCAACTTCCTGACCACGCTGCATTTTTTCAGCAGGATGTATACAGTGACACAGTTTTCTGTGCACCCCTGGGTTCCATTGCCCTCTGCCAGGGGGTGGGAGAGAGAGGCAGGCAGGGACTGGAGTGAGGAGACTGAGGGGAGATGGAATAGGACGATGCTTAGAAGTATATGTGCTGGAATCTTCCATTAATGCAGTCATCTGACAGTATATGAAATATCTACAATTTGCCAGGAACTTTTCCAGGCGTTTGGGGATACTTCAATGAACAAAGCAGAGAAAAATATTTGACCACAAGGAGCTTAATTCAGACCTAAACTCGACTCCAGGTGCCACCACTTAATAACAAGTTGCCCTGGACTAGTTACTTAACCTCCCGATGCTTCGTTTTTGTCATCTATAAATGTGAGCCAGACTTAAAAGTTGCCTGGTAAGAACTAAATGAAAGAGTATCTGTAGTCTACCTAATAGTCTGGCACCCTGTGGGTGTTTAATAAAGGGAAAGTTTTCTGGTAGCAAGTCCTATTCCAAAATTGATTTTTCCAAATGTAGAAACCATCCTAAGACCAGAGCCCGATCATTTACAGGCTATCACCTGGGTAGCTGGGCTGGGCGTGACCTTAGGGGCCTCCGGGGGCTCAGGAGGGCTGTGGTGTCACTCTTCCTATAATGATACAATACCTCTGGCTCCCTCTATACTTCAGAACGCACCCAGATACTTTTACATCATTCCATAATATTGAAAAATAAACTATTCAAGCCACTATCATACTCTCAAACATGTGGTGCTTAAAGACAAGCTTTCCTGAGGACTCACTCTTGCAATTGTGCCAAGAGCATAAGACCATTTTAATGAAGATATGCAGAGCCAACTATCCGTAACTTGACTATTCACGTGGGTTTCTCATGTATCATAGCGTTACTAAGGTTTCTAGCCCCACTTCTGGTTGAGTTTGGCTTGACTTTCCAGAGATGTCGAGACTGCCTTCAAAATAGGATTGCCAGGAGAGAGGAAAATGGTTGGGATTTTTGATTTTTACTTTCTCTTGCCACCTCCTTTTGGTGACGTCTCTAAGTTAGCACCACATGAGAAGGGTGAAAAAAAGGGAAAAAAGTAAAGAGAGTCATATCCAGTGATTTTGCTATATGTTACCAGTCTGGTAAAAACATTTAGCGTTAGACAGTATTCAAACATGGAATGAAATAGAGTTTGGGAATGACTTGTGTGGGTTTAATTTCCTCAGACTACCCCATTGTCCTCAGCAGGAAATATTTATGAGTCAGCTATCCAGGGTCATAGTTATTATTCAAGAGATGTGGGTTTAAAAGGAGACCTGATGCCATAGCAGAGCTCACTGACTTAGACTGTTCTTCAAGTTAAAGAGCAGAATGATGTCGGAATGACAGAAACACACATGCTTTAGAGTGTGTCAAGAAGACCTGAAAGCTCCCCCATGAAAGTAAAATTCATTACTGGCAAACACAGTGACAGGACACCCCAGAGGCCCGAGCCACAAAGAATTTCCAGAGCCCTGTGGCTAACTCCATGGCTTAGTTTGATCTTGAAGTCATTGTCTTGGATAATCCTCTCAAAACTGTTCCTACACTTAAGAGTCAGTCGGCACGTGACTGAGCTGTCCCCCTCGGGTCCTTTCACACCGACCTGTCAGAGTGGACTTCCAGGGAACACAGATATGTCAAATCATCCAACAGATGCCCCTTTCAAATGAGTTGGAGCAGAACCAACAGATGGGTAAGTCATAAACAAGGAAACATGCAACCTAAGGATTTTCAGCGCATTGGCATAGCTCTTTATATGGAAAACTCAGTCTCTTGGGTGGAACCCGAGTTGCACAGTGGATGAGCTTCAGAAAATTGACTCTTGCCCCAGTTGGAGCTCACGCTTCCTGACAGGAGATATACGGGGACATTTTAAAGTCCAGGCTCATCATTTCAACGAAGTAGGCTTCAATTTCATAGCTCCAAGGAGTAACAAATTTTAATAACTGGGATAAAGGGATTTAGGAGAGAGAAACCCAGTATCCACCCTATTTCTGTCAGTGGCTCAGGCTTCACATTGGGAGGGGGTGGGCCAGAATTGTCTGATCTCTGTTTCTGATTTCCCTCCTCACTGGCATCAGAGGATTTCTCTGCAGGAAAACTAATATCTGACGGGGCTCCAAGTGCTAAGAAAGAGCATTCCACGCTTATTCCAGGCCACCAAGAGGTTCAGGGTCACCGAGTCGCAGGCTGTGAATTTGAACATTTGATGATTTTTGCAGGTGACTGGGTGAACAAAGGAAAACCCAGGAGACACGCAAAGGTAGAAATGAGAAATTTCTCATTTGAATTGTTTAACATGTTTCACTCTAATGGTTCTGAAAATAAAGGGACTGCAAGCCCCTCAAACAAAGTTACTGAGTTTAGTTTTTTGGCCCACATGCTGGAATAGGAAACATGCTCACTAATATTTACAAGGCATCAGGTAAAACAGCCAGGATATTGGCAGGATATTTTTGTTGACGTTGTTTTTATTGTCCATGTGGGCAGGCCAATAATACAATTTAAAAAATCAAATCACCAATTCAATCCTGTCTATTTCTGATTTAATTGTATTCTAGCAACAGCCCAGATTTTACTGAAAACTTTCTATATGCCAGGCACCGGGAATACAATAATCAATGAAATATTTTCCCTAGCTTCAAGGACTCTTCGACATAATTTTAACAGTTGTATTATGTGTTTACATGTTAGAATTGCCAGAACACTTAGCTCAAGTCAAGGGCTCAGATTAGACTTTGTAGAGATCTTGGCTGAGCTCAGTCTTAAAGAACGTGGAGATAAGGGTATACATTTTTTTTCTGAAGAAGAGAGATCGCTTTCTCTCCACTATTTTAGGACACAGAAAGAAGATGGCCATCTACAAGCCAGGAAGAGAGCTCTCACCAGAAACTGACCATGCTGGCACCCCAGTCTCAGACTTCAAGCCTCCAGAAGTGTGGAAAAGTTAAGTTCTATTGTTAAGCCACCCAGTCTACAGTGTGGTTTTGTTGTTGTTGTTGTTGTTGTTGTTGTGGCAGCCCAACCAGTCTAAGAAAGCAGTTAGGACCATTTTTATAAGAACTGCGTCTGAAATTCAAAGGAGTCATTAGGACATAGTTAGTTAAGTTGGTTATTCCAGAGGTTAACTTGCCCAATCCTAGTTTATAGCATTAACCAGTGTGGTATATCGGATGCTTTCCCACGGCGATGCCATCGCCGACTATTCCAACAGCATCAGGAAATCAAAAATAAGCAAACCCAGGGGAGGGGTGCAAAGGTCCTGTACCGGACAATGGGCATGACCCCTGTGGTTTGGGGTGTGGAGCAACATCTGTCGCTGACACTTAAGTGCCTGTCCTGCCTTTTCCTCTCCCTGGGAATGGCCACAGATGCTGCCATAGCAGGTGCGCTGCTTCCCTAAGTGGGTTTCCCAGACACATCGCATGCACTGTTCCCACTGAGTCACCTTCGCTCTGCAGCTGCCCAGATCATTTGATTTAGGGGAAAAGACGACAGTACTCGGTTGCTTGAATGTATATTTGGCAGGGAGTAGGGAAATTACCAAATGCTGGAGAGTGTGTTTCTCTAAACTTATCATTGTTACATCCCTTCACTTCTATATATGTTGTTCTTGAGTAATAGAATCAGGACAGGAGCGTGTGCATCTCATTCCCTGAACCTGACCAGCAGGCAAAGCAGTGTGGTGGCAATGAATGTGTTATTGGAGCTCAAACTTGACTACTAAATTCACAATCTGAGATCAAGTCCTTAACCTGTCAACTCCATGCATTCTACTAAGAATTTTTATCATCTAACTTTTGTCATGAATCCAGTGAAAAGTACTAGCAATCTTTAAACTTCAAACCATGTGATTTTCATTTCATTTCATTTTTAACCATGTTGCTGTCCAAGAGTACATACCTCCTTTCTTAAGGAAATAGGACTTATTAAGATCTCTCCTTTAGATCATGTGAGCTGACATTCCTCCCTATAGAAAGCAGCATCCCAGATACCTGTCACTTAAGTAAATGAGATATATATTTTAACCAAAAGGATGAAGTGTTAAAATTTTTTAAATGGTGTCAGTCACAAGCAAGAGCCCAGGGACCACTCACTAGACTTTTGGGTTCCCTTAGAATCTATGAAACCTAACCTGGTGGCTTCTACCAGTACCTTGGAGGTAAAGAGTGTGGTTTTAGATTTAGGGAGAATTTAACACTATCTAGAACCATCTTGTTTACTTGCTTTTAAGGATATCTAAGACCTGGGACTTCTCCAATAATGGGTATTCCTATCTAGACTTGATGAGGTGCATTTAGGGGAAACAAACTGGCAATTTTATTTTAACAGGTCTAATGGCAGTCCATCTGGCTCCAGGTAATTTTTAGCCAAACAGCAGAACTTCTGCAGGACATAATAATTTCACAACAATGGACTGATTCTGATTCCAATTGGAAGTCTTTTGTTTTAAAATCACTCTGACAGTATCCTACAAAGCCCATTTCATATCACACTGCCGCTATCTGTTTACTTATTGCCTACTCTGCGAGACTGTAAGCTCCCTGATGACAGACTTTGCCTTATCCACCTCCCTATCCCCAGCACCTCTCACAGACAGTTAAGTTTTGACCCTGGCTATAAAGGTTCCTGCTAGCCATCTTTTACAGTTGTTTATTTTTTTATTTGGCAAACATTTGTATCAATCTAGCATCTGAACTGGAAATCTGCACACAATGGTTGCTCAAAAATGCAAGTCAGTTATAAAAATTTTTAACTGGATAAACTTTTATAGGCCCTGAGCATGCCCTGTCACTGAAGGGACAAATTACACTTTCTCATGCTCAAAGCTTATAGAAGTTTGTGCTGCCTAATGGAATCCCGACATTCATTTCTACTTGATATTGTAATGTTCTGAAGGCACCCGTCCTTCAAAGACTACTAGATTACCCCCAGCATCCATTCCTCTCCAGACTATTGAGTAAACCTATTGTTTGTTCTTTCTGCAAAAAACACTTTCAACATTTCGAAGATATGAATTGGATGGTCTGTCATGCTAATTTGTTTGATATCTTTTGTATTTTTAAAGATCTTAATACTTATGACGTGTTTTCAATGGCAGATAAGATCAAAGGGCAAAAATGAAAGAAGCTTGAACAGTTTCTGCAGTGCTGATAGTTACATAATTTAATAATAAATAATAAAGTAGGTGATGATATGACCTTAAATTACACATCTGCAAAGTTACTGCCATATCTCTTAGAAATTTTGTAGAAAGTTTTGAACTTTACTTTCTATTATAAGAATATTCACAAATAGGCTGGATATACATCATATACTGAAAGAAACCCAAAACACTATTTCAAAAGAATATATGCACCCCTGTGTTCACTGAAGCATTATTTACAATAGCCAAACTATTGAAGCAACTCAAGTGCCCATCAATAGGAGAGTGGATAAAAAGCTGTGGTACATCTACACAAAGGACTATTGCTCAGCCCTAAAAAAGAATGAAATCTTACCCTTTGCAACAGCATGGGTGGACCTAGAAGGTATTATGCTTAGTGAAATAAGTCAGTCAGAGAAAGACAAATACCATATAATTTCACTTATATGTGGAATCTATAGAACAATATAAACAAACATACTCATAGATACAGAAGACAAACTGACGCTTGATAGGGGGACTGAATGAAAAGGTGAAGGGATTGAGAAGTAAAAACTGGTAGTTACAAAATAGTCATGGGGATGTAAAGTGCAGCATAGGGAATATAGTCAATAATATTATGATAACTATGTATAATGCCAGTGGGTGCTGGAAATATCAGTAGGAACACTTTGTAAAGTATATGATTATCTAACCACTATGCTGTACACCTGAAACTAATAAAAATAATATTGAATGTAAACTGTAATTGAAAAAAATTTTTTTAAAGAATATTCACAAATAGGGAATTCATGGATCTAGAATTGTTCTCTTTTTTTGAAAGTTAAATTAATTTTAAAGTTAACTTTATAGGATAAATTGTCCAAATTTATTACTGATGAAGAATTAATAATACATTTTGGAAATAATGTTTTATTTGCTTCATTTTGGAGAAAAGTTAAAAATGAATATTCTGAGTTTACTGAAGTTACTTTAAAATTTGTTTTCCTATCTATATTCCAATATCTCACAGAGGATTCGCCACTCTGAATGTTACTGAAACAAAACACAGAAGCATCTCCCCCGTGAATAAAGCCATTGTCAATTCAACTTGCAGCTAAATGAACAAGCAGGACATGGGCTTACTTACTGCATGAACAGCCTTAAATATTAATATGCCTGGCATTCGCTAAAGATGCTCCAAGAGGTACTTAATATGTGCATTACTATTTCATTCTTAACTCTTCATTAGTTTATAATTGAAAGCTGTAGAGAGTCAGAAAGCTGTAACCATTCTCTATAGTTACGGCCTATAATACGTTCAATGAACAATATAATCTTCGTCATTATTTTCTTTTTTCCATGTTATGTTTATTGTGGTCACAATTATTAAAATAATTTTTATGTTTAAAGAATCTAATAAAATTTGGCTTGTATTTTTTATCTTTTATTCCCTTTATTTTTCTAGGAATTTGTGTAGATTGTGTTTTATAAAAGTACAGATGTATGGATTATAAAGTAAAAAACAAACAAACCAGTCCTCTTCCACAGACGTTCTGAGAAACCCCAGTAGATTATTTCTCTGTATTTCTAAGCTGTCCCAAAATCAGCATTCTACTTTTCCTGAATCACTCCTACCCCAGCCTATCTTGACCTCCTGTCTGTCTTAGGCACACCACCCAAAGTATCAAGATAAAAAAAAAAAAATTAAAAAATTGCAGGCTGTATTTGTGACTCACCAAGGTTAAAACATTTTTAAAAAGTTCACACCAGAGGCTGGGCTAGTGAAGAAATAAGTGGGTGCAGTGGGCTGAGCGG